AAAAAAAAAAAAAAAAAAAAAAAAAAAAAAAAAAAAAAAAAAAAAAAAAAAAAACAAATGGAAATAAGAATTTAAATTGGAGATATATTTTTAATTTTATATAATCACCTCATCTGCTTCATCAACATCAATGGCATAAACCTTCAAATGTGTGAGATTCTTCCTGTTAACCTAAACAGAGAGGGTATCGAATAATACATGACAACTTTATCTGGTCAGCGGCAACATGTGAAATATAGAGTAGCAATAAATTAATAAATACTAATGAAAATTTACAAGTCCTGGATGGGATTAACTGTTGGTAAAATTCAAATTTCTGAAGCTCTCTCGTGCAAGTGGCAGGGAAGCAAGGGAGATTCTCAAATAATAATCAACATAAGCTAAGATGCACAGGTACAAACATGGGCCACAGACACGGACATGTTGAGGATACATTTTTTTAATTATATATGTAAATTTAACATAAAAATACTAAACGTACTCTACTAAAAAGGCACAGAAATTTGCAGTGAGTGATCATGAACAAAAAATGGCTGGTGGTGTGGTGGTTGTTGCTTCTTCGTGAATTGCAGAAACAGAAACAGAAATATAGCAGGCTTTCAACTTCTTGTGTTTTTAATGTCTTTTTTCTATTGATTTTTATTTGTTTAAAAATTAAATTAGACGGAGCTTCAAATATGCACTCAAAATAATTGGTTGGGCCTTGTTTTTGCTAAAAATTTATCCCAGCGTATCCAACATGTCCAAGAATAAATAAATAATGGAAACATAATCTGCGTGCCAGACACGTGTCCAACACAGATACTCTGCCTAAAATAATGTCCGTGCTTCATAGAACATGAGGTAACTTTTTAAGATGTTATCACACTATTATGACCTATACATAAGCATAGAGCTTACGAAAAAGTAAAAGAAAAAAGAAAAACCAATGATAGGAACCTGACACTACCTCATCAGCATCAGATGCCTCGAGTAAAAGTGATTCAGCTGCTGCTATAATTTCATCTGAATGATCTGTCCGAATGTTTAACTTCAGAAGTTCAAGATTAACATGCCAAGGGAAATATCCTATGTCTATGAGAAGATTAACCGCTGATGATGCTGTTTTCACCAGTCCCATGGCCTTGAGAATCTAAGGAAGAGACAAATATCGAACACAGTTAGGGAAATGGATGAACATGTAGTTTTCGTTCATCAAGTAAACCACATGAAAAGAGTTACCATCCCAGCTGTCATCCTTTGTTCAGCATCATTGCAAGCATCAATAGCATAAGATTCGAGAGACTCAATCTTGTGTCTGGTTTTCTCTTCAGTTACCCAGGAAGATTTAGGAGGTTTAGCCTTCAAAGGCATCGCCTTAGCAGATTTCAGCAATTCTACAAACTTTTGTAGCTCATTTTCAGCGGCCTCCCTTGCAAGCTTAGTACGTTGAAGTTCTTCAACCTGGCTTTCATAAAGGAATTAGAAAATATTTTAGAGTGAGGAAAACACTGCGCATTAATGGATGACGTGGTAAACAAATCCACTAGCACAAAGATTTGCCATGTGACGGATCATAAGATAGAAAAAACAAAATCCAGCTAATTGAAGAAAGATCGGCAGGGAAAAAACAATATAAGGCTACTTAAGTGAATAGCCTATCATCTGTAATAACATTCATAGGAGGAGAAGGTGGGAGATGTGTGGGAGGAACTGCAGTTAGCCATTTGTCTTCCACTACTTAAGCATTCTCTACTTCTTCCTATTCTTTGGATTTTGCTAGTGAGTAATTGGATACATCCGTATCCCTTGAAGGTAAGGATTGGATAATGAGCCTCCTTTCATTTTTGTTCACTTTTTTCTCTTGTCAAGACAAGTGTTTCTATTTTAAAAAAAAAAACAACTAATCGTGATCCTGTTCATAGATCTGAGATCATATACCATGTATGAATAGATTAGGGCCTTCATCACGTCTTAACACATCTTCCCCTGTTTTAACTAGTGACACAATATCACGTCTATAAAAGGGGCAAGATGGACTCTGGAGGTGTCTTGCCAACACACAATAGAGAGAGAAAGAAAGTAGAATTATAAATCAATCGAAAGCATCTCTTAAATGAATAAGAGAGATGGCCTTAGAATCGTTAATATTTAATTATTCAAAGTCATGGCACCACATAAACTTAGAGCAAACTCAAGAAAACTCTATACTTTTTACAAAATTATTATCCTTTACAGTCTGCAGTCGAATATTCTATATCTTTCAGAAGCATCAAGTTGAACTGCCCACCCCCCATGAAAAAATTAAGATTAAAGAAAAATTAAAGCATCATTATTTAATTTACAAATTTTCTTGAAGCAGGTACATTCCAAAAAGCCCCACCATATAAGAATCTCTAAGAATCTAGTAGTTGTGTTTGATAATCATTAAATGAAAGAAAGTTTCGAACTAAAACATAATGCGTACTTGATCAGTGGGTCTTGGACCATAAAAAGATCGCGAACCTTTTGTCTGCAGAACAGTGAAGTATAACTCATCTCTTGATAACAACAGATGCGCACAATAGCTATCAAGAGGTTCTGGATTCCCAAATATCATCTGTAGAAGGAACTATAGTCAGTGATGGAACAATTATCAACTGATCAATGATACCCAGACAATACATAACCTCAGCTAGTTCTTCGGTAGTCACTGCCTTATTTTGTTCAAGAAGCTCAAGCCAAGCGAACTCCAGCAGCGTTGGATCCTGCACTCATAATTATTGGCTCAAATAAGATAGTGAATCACCACCAGTCAATATGAAACAAGGCTCTAGTATTTCCAAGTAAAGAACAAACCAAGTTATTCTGAGCTCTCTTAATGAAGTCTGCAATTTCTGTCTGGTCAAAATTTTCAACACCTGGAACAATGTATGTAACTTGCTGTGGCTTAATGGATGAGGTCACACCATTCTGTCAAAGAAAAAATGAACCAAGAGAAAATTAGAGTTATGTACTGAATACTTTCCTTGAACTTCTAAAAATAATAAGCCATGAATCAACCTAGTAGCCAATTCAAACAAAATGGTGCGCTATTTTTTTTTTTACTAGAACCTGATCGAACACCATCCAGTTTTTTTTCCCATCAGGTCTCTGAGCAACTGCCAGTAGTACCCTCTCCGAGTCCTTCTTGAACTCCAGTAACCGTCCCTTTTCCAATGTCTGGTTCATAAGCTTATCTTCGGTAAGCTCTCCACTGCCCATGCCCACCAATCCCATTCTGAATACACAAAACTTTTTGCTCATTATTGGAAAAGAACAAAGAAATACTAGATACTCAACTTCCAGATGATCATACAATCTTTGAGACAGTATAATCTTACTTGGAGAAATTCATTAAGTTTTTTTTTTTTTTTTTTAAACAAATATCAAAGTCAAGATGAAATTCATAGCATAGCACATATTTCAGCTCAACTCAATCAAGAGAAATAGAAAATGCACTTTCATAACAAATGCTGAATGCACAAAATAGTATTGGATATTATCTGGCACAGCATATGAACTAAAAGCAAAATATTTCAATTAAGAAGCAAAAACGTACTTAGCGGTAGCAGAAACTCTCTTTCGCCTGCGCAGAGCTTCGAGCTCTTCAACAACGTTTTCGACTATACTGTACAAGGAGTAGAATCGCTGTCCGCCACTCCTAAAACGTTGTTGTTTGTGGCATAATACAGGATACCTATACTTCAATTTCGAGCTCCTGGCATTGAAGAGGCATGTTCGGAAGGCAGAGAGAGGCGGGGACGAAGCAGAGCGGAAAACCGAGCAACTGTTAGCAGCTCGCAACGCCATTGTCGTTTGCAGAAGGAGAGAATCGACGAAGCTTACAAAATTGAAGAACGAGGATATCTCATTGCTTAGCGTTGGCCAAGAGTTGACATCGATTTGGTTCCCGACACGCAGAGAGATTTTTGCTCATCTGACGATAAAGCCGAGCGATAGAACTGGTTACTTTGGTTTATTGCTGCAGAAAAATGAAAAATTCGTCCTATTTTATTTTTCTTTTATTTAATCGGATTTTTTTTTAGTATTTTCAAACATAGACCAAAAAATAATTAATTAAATTTATACTTCTAAACACATCAATAAAACCTCGAACTAGAAATTTTATAATTATATGTAATTTCATGGTCCAATTTTTTTAATTTCAAATTTATTTTTGGATATAAATCACAAAAATTTATATTATGGTTTGTATGCTAATTTAAATTTTAGTTTTTATATTTTAAATATTTAATTTAATTTAAAAATCTTTACTCTGTCATTAAGCTTTGTATTTTAATGTAAATTTTAATGTAAATCTCTAATGTATCTGATCTAAGCCACATAAGTGTTGAAGTCTATTCAAACCAGGCAAATGATTGAACAACTCAAGAATACTATTAATTCTAACATTTGATTGATCGTTCAAGAATTCTATTAATTCTAACATTTTTTAATATACCAACTTGAGTGTAACTCAATTAATCAAGACATGTGAGATCCATACAGATTAGAGAGGAAAATGAGTGTCAATAAGGACACTGGCCCAAAGGGGAGAGGTGAACTATGAGATCCATCATCGATTCTTTATAAGGGTGTGGAAACCTCTCCCTAACATACACATTTTTAAAACCTTGAAGAAAATCCGAAAGGAAAGACCTAAAAAAGACTATATCTGCTAACAGTGGGCTTGGACTATTACAAATGGTATCAAACTAGACACCGAGCGAAGTGCCAACAAGAACGTTGGACCCTGAAGAAGGTGGACTGTGAGATCTCATATAGATTGGAGAAGGAAACGAGTGTCAAGAAAGACCCGAAGGAGGGTGGATTGTGAGACCGTATGTTGGTTGGAAGGGGAACAAAATATTCTTTATAAGGGTGTGAAAACCTCTCGTATTTTAAAACCTTGAGAGGAAATCCAGAAGGAAAAGCCTAAAGAGAATAATATCTACTAGCAATAGACTTAATCTTAAAGAGAATAATATCTACTAGCAATGGACATAATATCTACTAGCAATGGACTTAATATTAATATGTTCCCACATATATACATTATCAATCAAAATCATTGAATGTAACATTTGTATAACAGGTTACTTTCTTACTTTCTACAACAATCCACTATGCACAGGGCATTATCCACTGTGCACAGGGCATTAGCTGATCCCCCCCCCCCCCA